TAAATGTTAAGTGGTTTGACTTTGGTGAAAGTCTAAATTGGTTTGACCGGTGGTCAAAGAGTTCATGAGAAACCCGTAACACCTAAATCGTTTTGAAAAGAAAGAAAATAAGTTGACTGTTGGTCAACCGTCTAAAGAACCGAATTTAAAGTTGAATTGATTTTTATTAAAAGGATAAACATATGTACGATCTTAATTGTTGAATTATTATGTTTATTCTTGTGCTACAATGGAGTACCACTCAGCGTCAATGCTGAGCGGATAGCGTTGTTTTCTTTTGCTGTCCGTAGGTGATCAGACAGATGAACCTAGAGCCGATCCCAGAGGGCATTGAGGAGGAGATGTACGATGGCGTGGCTGTCTCTTTAATCTGTTGATTATGCTTTATTTAATTAACTGTAATGCTTATTACGTTTTCGGGCAAGATCTCAAGTTGTTTGACTTTAAAAAGGCTTCCGCATTATTTTAAATTACTCCGATGGATTTTTATATGTATTGAAAGAACGTTTGTTTAAAATTGTTCTGATAATGTCGCAAATTCGGATACCAATTCAGTGACACACCGGTCCGCTGTCTCACGGGTTTGGGTCATGCGGGTTGGGGTGTTACATTTTCGCTGGTTTATCTTATGTAAATAGATACATTTAAATCGGATGAGAATTTTAAGTGACATTATTAACATGTTCAACTTAGAGGTGCATGTGGAGTGGATACTCGTTGAATAATAATATTGCAAACTCAAGAGTAGGGTTCAAGAGCGATAATCCCAAGTTTAAAAGCAATAATTCCCTACAAAGTAGGAAATTAAAATTACAATAAAGTTTTGGAGTACCCTAAATTATACACTAAACACAAACGCATATATATATATATATATATATATATATATATATATATATATATATATATATATATATATATATATATATATATAGGCCTGTTCCAATGAGAATGACCCTTCACGTGAGAAATGCGAATAATTGATTTTTGGTTCGTAGTGATGCATTTTCCAAATAAGGTCAAACATTTTAGCAATGGTAGAGAAGTTTGACTTATTTACGATTATGCCACCACATTTTTCAAATTTTTCCCTCCATTTTTCACTTGTTAACAACTTTTAGATCTTATATCCAATGGACTATATGCATTCTTATTTCTTTCATCATGGAGCATCATCTTATTTGATCATGTGTGTGTGTGTGTGTTGTTAGACGCCTTGCACACCTCTAGAGAGGAGGTGAATAAATGTGTTGTCCAAATAACCGATTTTTCGCATGGAAGCGTTCTTGACAATCACTCAATCAAAACTAACGCACCACAACCAGAATTAAGTGAAGGATAAAAGCAATGAACACACGATATATACTGGTTCAGCCTAAATGCCTACATCCAGTCCCCAAGGCAAACATGCCCGAGCCTTCACTAACCCGTCAAACTTAACGTAGTTTGACGATCCAAATACAACTCGAGAACTTGATTTCACAAGTCTCTTATCCTACCACCGGAGCCTTGATTTCACAAGACTCGGGATTTCTTCCACCTAACATTTGATTTCACAAACCGTTGGGATTTTTACCACTTGGTGTAATCCCAACACCAAGCATACAAATCCCTTACAAAAAATAAGAAAACAAACCACAGCGAAATAGTCGCCCAACACGGGGTAGATTGCTCCAAATACAATGAAGTCCTATAAAATATGGGAAAAATCTCTCAAAAACTCAAGCAATGAGGATAAACTAGCAAAGAAGATTTTAGTAATAAAAACAATTGCCTTGCTTGAATATTAGAAGAGGTTTGAGTTAAAGGATATGTTATGATATGTGTTTTTGGTGTTCATCTCATGAAATAAACGAGACAAGGGAGTTTATAGAAGTTAGGGAGTGGATATGGATGAAAAACATTCAAAAAAAACTAGCCGTTTGGAAGTTGAAACTGCCAGACTATTCGAATAAATCAAAAACTATTTGAGTAGTTCAGAACAAATCCGAAGCGAGAAAAAACAGTGACTTATTTGAATAAATCAAGAGTTATTATAATAAATCAGTATTTTTACCCAAACTCAGAAGTTCCAGACTTATTCGAATAAACCAAAGGTTATTCGAATAGAAGAGCAACTTCTCCACACAAAGGCTTGTCTAAAAGGTGTTTTGAAGGTAGGATTATCAAGGAATGAACATTACAGATGCCATACTCTTTAACACACATTCTAAGATCTAAAAGACCACCCAACCAAGGTAACAACGTCTTCGGTCTCGATCCTTCCACCGATGCTCAAGTTCCTTCTTCACGGACGGATCTGAATTTGTTGTAGGTTTGATTCTTAGCTTGTATAATATGATGGTAACACATTGTCCAACATCTGTGTCTGTGTGTGTGTCTCGGTATTTACTTTTTGGTGTGCAAACTGGTGTGCAACTTGGCCTATCCCTAACATCACTCTTGATATTATTGTTCCAACATTAATGATGACACCAAATTCTCATTGAAAAACAAATCTCTTAAACATAAAGGGCAAGTCTAAAATGACACTAGTGCTACTGGTGTCATTTGCTTACACAAGTTAGTTTGGGATATCTATAATATCCCGTTTGTAAAAATAACGTTTTTTACCCCCTAACTCTCCCCCTAAACCCTCTTACCACCCCACCCCTACCCTCCACCCCATCCCCCTCCTGTCCTCCTCCCTACCCTAGCAGTATATTGTCAGGCAGTATACTGCGAGGGTAGGGTGGGGGTGGGGGCAGGGATGGGGTGGGGGGTTTAGGGGGGAGGGTTTGGGGGGTAGGAATCATCATTTTTATGAATAGGGGACAGTAGGTATCTCAAACTAACTTGTGTAAGTAACTAGTGTATAAGTAATTTATGTCATTTTAGACGCATCCAAACATAAATTAATGCTTCCTTTGTACATTGGGTTTTCACCGTATGAGTTATAATGTTTGAATAATATTATTTGCAAGTCATTTTGTTTAAAAATATTGGTGCATGCGCTTTTGAACTTACTGTCACATGACGACTCAAAACTCCTACCGGGCTTTATTCAAAAAATTGATTGTTTATGCCCCATAATCCCTCCTAACCCCCTAATAGCCCCAATCTCATCAATTTCTCGATTGACTAAAGTGGTCACTGTAGGCAATCTGCAAAGGAGAGAAGCCGAGGGCTGGAGGTGCATTGGAGCCGTGGAGGGGGAGTTAGGGGATATGAACTATCATTTTTTTAACGGAATATCATAGGAACTTTGGATCATGCCATGACATTGAATCTAAATGTCACATGAACTCGTGTGTAGTTTAAATATTGATGTATAATTAAAAACTAAATTTATACAGAGTACATTTTAAAAACTATGCTGAAATGCTACAAAATATGGGTTAAATGACTATATTATTTTATTAAAAGATAAATAAAAGCATGTATATAGAAAAAAATTTGACTATATAAATAATAATTATTAAAAATCAATAGAACAAAAGACGTAACATTTAATGGAAGCAGGGTATGTTTGGTAAGATGTTCAATATTCAGCTTTAACGGTTTGCTAAACATGATCGTTAGATAATGTTTAGCTTTTGAATTTTTAAAATTACTCTATACAATTAAAAAGTTATTTAAAATGTTAATGCTATTTTAATGGAAAAAAGGAGTAACAGTTAATAGAAGTAGCGTATGTTTAATAAAATTTGAAAAAATTATTTAAAGCTATCTCTAGCGTCGTACTACCACTCACTCCAAATCAATAGTTACTGAGTCTCACATTAGTACTGACTGCACTCACCATCTTTAATTACCTGTTTATACTCAAATTAAATTATATTTTTAAATTAACATGAATAATTTATTTTTTTTGTTTTCTACTTCGTTATTTTTTGGTTTTATTATTTTCCGTCCAACCCTTTTTTAATTTCTTTTGGTGTTAATTTTTTCTTGTGTTGAGATCATATTTTTTGATTTTCTTTACTTTTATGTTATATAAAAATGTAAACTAGCTTAATTTAAAATAAAAAAACATGAAAACATAAATTATAATTAAAACCCATTTGATAAAAAAAACATACTTCGTTCAATTGGAATTGTATTGGTGAAACATATAACAAAAAGAAAACTAACTTTTTGTTTTCTTTATATTTGCCTTTTTTCTCCGTCTCAAAATAAGTTGCATGTTACTTGTTATAGTAAACTTTTAAGAATAAAATACCTAAACTACCCCTAAAATAAGTCACTCTTTTCCACCTTATCTTCTCATTCATCGTCACCCTTCTAAACAATAATGACAATTTCGAAAAATCAACTCTATTTTTCCTCTTCCTTAAATATGCCCAAAAGTCAAAACATGCGATTTAAAACATGACGGAGGGAGTAATTTTTTTCTTAAAACAGATTTCTTAAAGACATTAAATTATTATTTTATAATAATGTAAAATGTAGTAAAAATATGTTAGAATATATATAAATTTATTTATAAATCATAATATTCGAATATATATAAATTTATATGTACACAAAATTTTAATATATTAAATATGTTAAAATATGTACACAAATATTTAATATTATATAATATTATAATATGTAAATTTATTTATAAATTATAATATTCAAATAATTCGAATAATAAACGAATCGAATCTATTAATATTTGTAATCGAATTCGAAAATAATTCGAATCTAAAATATGATATGTATTCGGATTCGAATTCGAATATAGTGAATACGAATCATCATTTTCGAATATGAATCACGAATCGAATACATTTTATTTGATTTGTATGCACCTCTATTTCTCAGGGCTTATAACCTGACTTATAAGCCAGAAAAAAATAAGTAGGCCTTACTTATTTTTAAGCTACTTTTTTTTGTTTCACTGTTTTGACCAAATTATATACAAAACTAACCCCCACCTATTGTGATATCCTCAAATGATTTATATATGACTATCATTTAAGTCATTTTTCTCCACGAAAGAATTAACTTATATTATAAGCAGCTTATAAGTTAAAAATTAATTATAAGTAATAAGTCAATAAAGATCAATACGGATAAACACTACATAATGTTGCGTCATATGACACATTTTCAAAAAAAGGGAAAGAAAACTTCTTTTATGTACAAATTTTGGGGTTTTAGTTTTTTAATAGCAAAACAAAAAAACAAAAAAAAATTAACTTGTTTAATTTAAAAAAAATATAAGGGAGGCATAATTTATATTTAAAATGGGTTTCGTCAGTGATGTGGCAGTGCCAGGGAGGATCACTCCTCTCCTTTCGTGAGGCACTGATGATATTCAGCTTTTGATTTTTCAAAATTAATATATACAATAAATAATTATTCAAAATGTTTACTCTAGCTAGTTTAAAGGAAGAAAGGCTGAGGTAAAAGTAAAACATAAAAAAAACTAAAAGAGACATTCATGCTTTTATCTTCAAAGTAGAACCTATGTTGCAATGATCTCAACATATAATATCAAAAAGCATTATGAAATATCAACATACACTGCTACATTGTTATAATGCAATAGTTTATTTTGAAATAAAAATATATCACTACTTCCTCCGTTCAAAAATTGTCTTCAAATTACATGTTACGATATTTG